TAGCACCCATCGAATCAGGCGCGGCTTTGAATCCTTTTTATCTATTAAGTACCTGAGAGCAGAATGGTCAGTATAAACAATTACCTTAGAGCCAATCAGGTATGACCTGAATTTGTCAAATGCGAACACATTGCTAGCATCTCCTTCTCGGTCACCGTGTAATTTAGTTGGGAACCACTCAAAGTTCTACTAGCGTAATATATTGGATGCATGACTTTATCTTTGCGCTGTCCAAGCACTGCTCCCACAGCATAGTCGCTTGCATCACACATCAGCTCAAATGGTTGCTCCCAGTCAGGTGCAACTATGATGGGCGCTGTCACCAGCCTCTTCTTCAATTCCTCGAAAGCTACCCTGCAATCATCCGAAAACACAAAAGGGTGATCTTTTTCAAGTAATTTACACAAGGAGTTAGCAATTTTGAAAAAATCTTTTATAAATCTTCTATAGAAGCCGGCGTGCCCCAAGAAACTTCTTATTGCTTTGATGGACATGGGTGGTGGAAGCTTTTCAATCACATCAACTTTGGCACAATCTACCTCAATGCCCTTACTCGACAATAGGCGTCCCAAGACTGTACCTTCTTGTACCATGAAATGGCACTTTTCCTAGTTGAGTACCAGATTCGTCTCGACACATCTTTTCAATACTCTTTTTAAATTCCTTAGGCAATCATCGAATGAGTCTCCCACCACCGAAAAATCATCCATAAAGACCTCCATGATGTCCTCAACCATATCAGTGAAGATGGCCATCATGCACCTTTAAAATGCGGCGGGTGCATTGCATAGGTCGAACGGTATCCTCCGAAAGGCGTAGACACCATATGGACAGGTGAATGATGTTTTCTCTCTATCTTCCGGGGCAATGGAGATTTGATTATACCCCGAGTATCCATCTAGAAAGCAAAAGTGATACTTCCCTGTCAATCTATCTAGCATTTGATCAATGAATAGCAAGGGAAAATGGTATTTTCGGGTGGCCTTATTCAATCTTCTATAGTCCATACAAATTCTCCATCACGTGACTGTTCTTGTTGATATCAACTCATTGCTCTCGTTTTACACTACATTCATCCCACCTTTCTTAGGCACACATTAGACTGGGCTAATCCAGTTGCTATCAGAGATGAAAACAATGATTCCCGCATCTAACCACTTTATCACCTCCCTTTTCACAACTTCCTTCATGTTAGGGTTCAGCCTTCTTTGATGTTCTCTGGAAGGTTTTTGGCCATCTTCCAGTAGAATCTTATGCATACAGAAGGCCGGGCTGATACCCTTAATGTCTGCGATTGTCCAACCAATTGCAGTTTTGCACTCACTCAATACCTGCAAAAGTTGTTCTTTCTGCACATCTAAAAAATCAGATGAGATAATAACATGTAAAGTTGAGCTAGGTCCCAAGAAAGCATACCTGAGGTGAGGTGGTAGCGGCTTCAGCTCCAACTTTGGTGGATCTTCTATCAATGGCTTAGCTGGAGGAATTTTTCTTTCTTCTAAGTGCAAAGGCTCAAATTCGAGCTCTCTTTTCCAAAACCCTTGGCCTTCAAGGGCCAGTATCCATTCCGTCAAATCCTCTCCATTTACTTCATCTAAGTTCATGAGACAAGCTGCTAAAGGGTCTTTAGCGTTCAAGGTTTCATCTTCCTCCTCTAAAATTACATCCACGACTTCTATTAGAGAGCAGTTAGCAAATTCACTTGGTCGCCGCATAGATTTCTGCACATTGAATGTTATTTCTTTATCATTTAGTCTCATTTTGAGCTCTCCTGTCTCACAGTCGATTAAAGCTCTCCCAGTGGCCAAGAATGGTCTTCCCAAAATTATGGGAATCTCCTCGTCAACCCAGCAGTCTAGAATGACAAAATCTGTCGGGAACACAAACTTCCCAACCTGTACTAATACATCATCAAGGATACCAGAGGGCCTCTTCACTGTCCTATCGGTCAGCTGTAGTAACATGGACGTGAGTCTAGCTCTTCCAATGTCTAACCTTTTATAGATAGCCAAGGGCATCAAGTTTATGCTTGCCCCCAAATCACAAAGTGCCTTAGCAAACGTATAGTTGCCTATTGTGCATGGGATTGTGAAACTCCCTAGATCAGATAACTTCTCAGCTATGGGTCTCGTCACAACAGCACTACATGTCTGAGTCAGTGTAACCGTGGGCAAGTCTTGAAAGACGAACTTACGAAACATCAAGTCCTTCATCATTTTTGTATAACCAGGCATTTCCTTTAAGGCGTCAATCAATGGAATGTTAACCTGAATTTGTTTCAACATCTCCAAGAATTTCTTATACTGCTCATTTTTTTGATATTTGGCCAATCTTTGGGGGAAGGGTGTTGGAGGCCTCTTCTTTCCTGTGATTTGATTTTGAACCTGCTCAGGCACTGCTTCTACTGACGTTTCTTGTGCTACCTCAGTCTCCTTCACAACCTCTTTTTCTTTGCTTGTGCTCTCTTGTGCATGTTGTACCATCACCTCTGTCAACCCTATTGAATCATCTATCTCAATGGGTACTGGCACAAGTGTTTCAGTAGGTCGGATTTTGTGAGCCATCTCTTGCTCCAGCTCTAGGTCTCTACCATTTCGTAGACTCACTGCCATAAGCTATTTCGGGCCCTGTTCTTTTGGATTGACTTGTGTGTCTACAGGTAACGTCCCTTGGGGATGATTGTTTAGAGCCATAGAAATCTGTCCTAATTGAATCTCAATACCCTTTATCGCTGATTCATGTGAGTCTACTCTCTGTTAAATTTTTCTCGTTGACCCAATCAGTTATTGCAACATTCCCTTAAGTTCAGTAAAACCATCATCGTGTCTCATAATTTGTTGTTGTTGAGGTTGTTGATAAGTCAGCTGCTGATTTTGCTGGTTGTAACCCTGTTGCCTTTGGTAAGGCATAACTTGACCCAATGGTCGTATAGCTCCAGGATTGTTGTTGTTATTATACTGCTGCTACGCTGGTCTATATTGTTGATTTTGTTGACCCCAATTCTGACCAACTTGCCCCTATCCCCCATAGTTGGCTACATAATTCATATCTTCTTGATAGTGCTGGTTGTCACCTTTCGCACTCCACGAGCAAACATATGGTTGATTAATATATGGTGTACATAAGCCCCCATTAGTTGCGTCAACTATGTGAACCTGCTGCTTTTGGCCTGATTCATCAATCTTCTTGGTGAGGATACTCATTTGTGTCATTAGAGTGGCCATATTCTTAGCTATGGAGTTGTTTGGGTCCAAATCCACTGTGTGAACTACCGGAATGATCGTAGAAGCTCTTGTCATCCATCCTGAGTTTTGAGCCATCTTATCAAGTAGGATCTTGCATTCTCCGAATGTTTTACTCAAAAATGCTCCACCTGCTGAAGCATCAACATTGACCGTTAAGCCGTCAGCCAGTCCCATGTAGAATCTCTGCCCCAACATCTGATCTGTAATTCCATGATGTGGACACTTAACCAACATACCATTGAACCTATCCCATATTTTTTGTAGTGATTCTGTTGGTCTCTGCCTGTAGCTCAATATATCATCAATCTATTGGGCAGTTTTATTGGATGGGTAGAATTTGTTCAAAAATTGCTTGACTAATTCCTCCCAGGTAGTGATGGAGTTTATGGGGAGTGAATTAAGCCAAGTCTGAGCTTCTCCGGTCACCGAAAATGGGAACAATAATAGCTTTATTACATCCGGTGTCACGTTAGGTTGCCTTTGCGTGACACATATCGACAGGGAATTCTTCAGATGCTGCTGAGGATCTTCAATGTGTGACCCTCAGAACAGTCCCTTGTTCTGCAACAAATGTAGCATATTTTTTGTGATTTGAAATGATTTTGCTTGTATTTGAGGGACTACAATTGCAGTTGCCAGATTGTCGGCGGTGGATTGTGCCCAATCATATAATACTGCTTCTGGTATAAGAGGCACCACACCCTGATTGTTTGGTTCATTCGCATTGTTTCTGTTGTTGATTGGATTTTCTATTTCGTCATCCATGTCTGGTTCGATTTGTTCTGTCAAGTTTTATTGCTATTTCTTTTTCTTGTTTGCACGATTTAGTGCCTTGAAAACTTTCTCTGGATCTGATAACGCTTCGAGCAGTTCACCAGTTTTTGAGAAGTTCCTAGGCATACACCTATAATACCCAAGACTACAAACGTGAGAATTTTAATGTATTTGATTTAGAATGAGAAAAATTGACTACACCGAGAATTCTAGCACTTCTTTTAGCTGCAATTAATAACACTGTCAATTCCCTGGAAACGGCGCCAAAATTTGATCACGCCCAACTATGCCTTATAAAAAGGAGTAAGCGGTCATCGCAAATATATTCCGGCTAATAAGTCCGGAGTCGAATCTCACAGGAAATTAACCTATCAACCACACCTGCTAGATACGTACAAATTCACGCAATCATTCTTCAGAAATATTTAAATAATAATTTGGATGTTTATTAACTAAATATTACGTAATAAAAATGTAATACTAAATGACTAACTACGAACGGTTTGTAAACAAGAATTGGAATGATCTAAGGTTGTGATTTTCCATATTGTCGGAATCTTTTCTGCTACGTTTTCTATAAATTCGCCTAAATTTTCTCTATCGATCATGAGCACTATGACTGTCGTAACTCTCTTCCAAGTAATTACCATAATTTACTAGACATATTCTCCCGAATTACGCTAGCTAGCATTAAGTACGGCTCACTCAGATCGCGCCAAGGTTTCGTTATCCCTAATCCCACATTTAAACCCTTCGTATTGATCCCTCATATACGTTAGGAGTGATATTGTTCAACAACTATTTAAATATGCACTCTCTCCCGAGTAATACATACTAAATAGGCACAGCTAATTGAGGGCCCTTCAATCAACCACATGAATAATATAGTTAAACAAATAGAGAAAATACTACTGCAAATTTATATTAATGTAACAAGAAAATCATCCTTCAATAGGTTCCATCAAAACCCTAGATTAGGAGTTTAGTTACTCATACTCATAGTAACAATATCCCAAATATTTTGCATAATTCAATTATAAAGTAAAGATGAAAGGATATAGAAATCGATGATTCAAACTCCCAACAGTTGCTTACACAAGCTATTCTTGCCTCCGTTTGCAAAAGTCCTCCAAAGTGGCATTTTTAGGTCTATTTATATGTGTAGGAAAATACCTAAACGTGTAGGCAAAGTCCTAGTCAAATCCGGAGACGAAATAAGTCTTCAAAACTCGGACTGTACACGCCCAGACTTGGCCTCGCGAGGCCTAACGCCAGGTGGACCTCGCCCCAGACCTGCCGTCGCCAGGTATAAGGCCTGGTCAAGTTCGCCTTCTACCCCGCCTCGCTAGGTCTCTCGCCAGCTACAAGCCTGGCGTCGCCAGGTATAACGCCTGGTGTAGGCCTGGCTTCGCCAGCTTCTCCTTTTCGCTGCTCCCGAGCATGCTTTCGACTTTTAAGTATCCCTTTTTCTCTACTTTAATCTCCAATTCACCTACACATAAAATGGACTTCATTACGAGCAAATAAAGTACAATTTATCATTAAAGCGTATAAACTGCAAGGTGAATAGTGTGCTAAACCATGAATTATAGCCACACGTCAAGAATCAATCTTCAGTAATGAGAAGTTTTTATTGATTGTTTTAACATACTACATATAAAATTCTTTTACATCAAGAATCTATATGAAACCAACATTCCAGACAATATATGAAGCAAGTCATTTAATTCAATATTGAAAACTCTAAAATAAGTAGAAAATAAAAAATAATTAAAAAGAGAATGGTACAATAAAATTCATTAAGAAGATGCCAATGGCCCATTCTTCTTTTGCCAATATCTATTGGACTTTTTTTATCCGACATTATACTTCTTCTGTTCTCTTCTTTATCTGCAGTAGAAGAGATTATTATGAGAATAGAATAAGGGAGTCCATATAACCAAAAAGTTGTTTTTTTCAAAAACTAAAAATATTTTATTTTTCTTTAAAAATAATCTATATATACAATTTTATAGCTTCAATGAAGTTCACCACATAAAAAGACTTTTATGTTGTTTAACTATATTTGAGTACTCTCAGCTTACTATTTAAATAAACACATAGTCAACTCATCGACTAACTCACAATAGCAACATACAAGGAAGAAGTACATTAGTAGCGTGACCGGGCGGGGCTAGAGTGACGAGAGTGGGTTCAGCCGAACCTAGTAACTTTGGTTATAACTCTGTATTTGTTTTAAAAATTTATTAACATGTATCATAAACTTAAAACAATTAAAATTCTGAACTCATAAACTTGAAATTCTGATTATGCTTCTGAGCATGACACGTACCATAAAAATAGTTACAATACATCCACGCACTCAAAGAGCAGCTTTTATCTCAACAAACATATGATCTCAAATAATCTCCATACATCTCACAACATGAGACAAAGACTTAGAGGGTGTTTGGATTGGCTTTGGTCAAACCAGCTTAAAACATTTTTTAACTTATTTTGGTGTTTGGCAAATACAAAAAGTCAAGTGCTTTTAAGCCAAAAAATTAAAAACAAGCCAAAAGCAATAAGTTGGTCTATCTCAACTTATTGTTTTTGGGCTTAAAAGCTACTTGAGTTTGACCAAATAATTTACCCTATTATCCCTTACATACTTCTATTATTACCAAAGTACCCTCTCTTACTTAAACCTCTAATCCGTTTTTTTTCTTCCCATTTCTTCCTAACTGGTATCATAACCTCAGGAGCATTCTAAACTGATTAGCAATACTTGTTTCTCAACTTCAAAAGCTTTCTAACTCGTTCAAATTCCATTTTTGATTCATTTGCATAACCAAAAATGAAAGTAGAAGTAAAGAAAGTAACTTTTACGTGGTTCTTCGATTTTTAAAAGTACTTCACTTTAATTTATTTACTTTGTGGGTAACTTTATATGAATTGTTTATATAGTTTTAGTAAATTTTTTATTTATAATTATTAATTAATATTTTACCCAATAAGTACTTTATATTAATCAAAATAATCTTATCTAATCAGTATTATAACTTAAACTGAATTAATACACAAATTAATCTGTATTTGAGTTAATTTAAAATTAAAAATGCATCAATAAGCTTATTTTTAGTGTTGATAGTTTTAGGGCATCTCGTTCATTTTAACAGAAAAAAGTGCTTACCAGCACTTGTTTACCAAATATTTCAATAGATTTTTTTAAGTTAAGCACTTCTATCCAAACACATAACTACTTATTTGTAAAACAAGTTCAAGTACATAAAAAGTGACTTGTGCTTAAAAGTCACTTTTTTCCGGCCAATCCAAACGGGCTCTTATTCACTCGTTATTAGCACTTATACATTAGATTCCAAACGTGAAACAACAAAGTATCTACTGCTATTCAATCCGAAAAAGATCAATTAACATAGCTATTCTGTACAAACATTGGGGGAAAAAAGTTCATAAAATCAGTAGCATGCTAGCAATTTCTAGAAGATGCGATATAAATATTTTTACAAAATTAAAAATAAACTAAAAGGCATTACAAAGAGCACGAAGAAGAATGGAAAAGCATCATACCTTGAATTGGATGCCATTTCTATGAATACACGGAGGCTCGACACAAGAGGCGGCAAAGAAAGATTATAAATAATAGGAAGAGAGGAAAACCAATTAAGGTAATTAATTAACGTCTAAAGATGTGATTTTTCAGTTTTTTTTTGTCTAAAGACCCGACTGTGAAGTAATGAGTATTAATGGGGAGTGAACGTGGGTATATAAACAGGAAATATAATTGGCGTTACATTTGATAAAGCAATGGGTGTTTAATGGACGTGAGATACAGAAGTGGAAAATTAATTAATCACTTAGGAGGAGAAAAAGTCTCAAAACGAAAGAAACAAAAAGCAAAAATCTAAGAAAAAAAAATAAAGGTGAATATTAAACAATAAGAGCTGTCATGTGAGCATTCTTTTTTCCTCTTTTATATATAAAAAGATTTTAGGCAGCTTTGCAAGGCCATTGTAATCAAGCCCCAAGAAGCCATTAAATAACATATTTTTCTCTTTCTGCTTTACGATCTACATTGTTTACCCCAAAAATCGAATAATAATTAAAATTATACGTGATTTTAAAGATACGTGATCTAACTTGATACAAAATGAGAAATCAGTTTTAATATGGAAGAATAAGTAGAAAAATAAATACAAACCATGCAGATTGAACAACTTAATCCTCGCTAGATTAAGTTCCTTCGAATTTAAATGTGCTATTATTGAAGCGAGAATAATATGAATAAAGCTGGAAAAAATGGTATCTTGTTATCTTAAGTATGTCACAATGTCCTCTCTGAATTACTCCATTCCTTCTATATATATATGGGGAGATAAACCTTTAACACATTATTTTATAAAAAATTATGTAGACCGTTGGCTCCCCTTTTGACTAAATTTCGTAATTTTCGCCATAATGATTGGTCAATGGAGAGAATCACGAATACTTGTCGTGTGAGTGGGTAAAGCTTTTCCCCGAGGCCGTTAGAAGCAGGATCGGTGGTACCTTCGGTAAACTCGAGGGCGAGTATGATGGTTTTGTTGAACTTCTACCCTTGATGTCGAGCCTAGTTATATCGGTAACTTCGATCTCTTACGTAGGTGCCAAGCCTTGACCCATTGTTCCAGATGCCTCGATCGAGCATTGAGCTCGATTCTACCCGTGTACAGATAGTCCCCTCATTTTTTGGAGAGTAAGCGACTAAAAACGATATGAACCCTTGGTCCTTACTTCGATAAATCATGACGATGGGTACATGATGTAGGTGATAAGAATAGTGAAAATGTCATGTCAATCCGGTTTTCGAGGCATTAAATGTATGTCAGTTGACGGTCGGCTACCTCGGGAGATGAACCGCCGCTTGAGGAACCTATAAATACCCTTAAATCCATTTGTTATAACTTTTATGCTCAAATTCTTCTTGCTTTCTAAGAACTTCATCTTCTAGTTTTCCCATTGCTAACTTCAAAGCTTCCCCTTATTAATAATCTCTTTCCATTATTTTTTTAAAAATGGCAAAAATTTCAAAGTTTGTTCCTCAAAAAGAAACACCATCTTCTTCAAAACCGTCTGAAAATGATGCTACTGAGGAACCTCCTGTGAGAACATACATCCCTATTGGGTTCCCTACTATGTCTGATTTCAAAGTTGAGAACACGCCCATGGTACCGGGTCGATGTGAATCGGTCTTGAGGTACATATGTACGATCATAGACAACATCCTCGATACGGTTAAAAAGGATTGTAACTGGGCAAGCAAACACGTAGTGGTCCCTACCCCTGAAGAATCAATTACCACCTACATAGAGGGTTTCTTGAGTACTTATACTTACCCTTTCACGTTAGGTCCTCTAGACCCGGTTATCATAGCCTTTTGCAAAAGGTATGATGTGATGCTTGGGCAGATACATCTTTTATTTTGGAGGATCGTTATTCTGCTTTGATTCTTCGTGAGCAGGGTCGAGAGATGTTCATTCACCATCGACCATCTCATGCGTCTGTACAACCCTCGACTTTACCAAGGAGGGTTAATTAAGCTTACACGCAGAGCGACCAAGACCTTGTTCTTGAGTATTGACGAGGATCGAGACCGGGGTTGTTTAGGTAGATTTGTTCGAGTGAGAACCTCGAACTTAATCCCGACTGCAGACATGTCGTTCCCTGAGATATAGAATATGAAACGTAAGTAGCTTTGCCTTCGGTATTCCTTTTATTGCTTTTCATTCCGTTTGGTTTCTCATCGATGTTATGTGATGCAGTTGTTGCCTAAATGCCAAACCCCATTCCTAAACTTAAAGAGTGGGTCGAGGGCATTGCGACACAGAGACCTTACTCCGAGTGTTTATGGCGTGAGCTATCAAAGGGTCGATGGGAGGCCCGTAATAATGGTAAGGGTTTTTCCCTAATAATATATCTGATCTCATGTTTTCATCATCAGTCCCTGATCCGTTATATTCTTATTTTGTAGGTTTAGGAAAGGACATCGAGATAAGGCTCCCCCTCTGCTGACAATGATATACACGTCGATCCCCCTGCTCCGAAACAGGGTAAAGAGAAGAAGAAAAGAAAATTTCCGAGTCCCTCTGCCCCTGAAAGGAAAAGACCAAGGAAGCGACTTGCGCAGAAACCTAAGAAAACCAGCGCTCGAGAACTTTCACCAGACTCACTCAATCGTTTGAGGGATGAGTCCGAAAAAGAAAAGGATTCTGAGTTAGTAGCCTGCGTAAGAAGCGACTCCGAAATGCCTCGAGTCATGGAGGCCGTAGAAGAAACAGTGGTAGAAGTCTCCAAGAGGGTCGAGATCAATTTGGATCGAGCCAGTGAGGTCGAGAAAGAAAATGTGACCGGCACATCCCGGTCAGAGGATAACGTACCCAAAGAGGCACTTGGGGTGATTAACCTTTCTGGGTCGCCTTCGTTTACAACTTCTATGATAAACGAGGCCCACACTTTGAAAGGTAACCTCGGTGAAAGGGCCCAAAGAGTAGCCGATTCTTTCCATAATTTCTTCGACGGCCTAGAATCCATTGCTTCAGAGGATGTTACCGGTTTGGGTGACTTACCGGTACCAAAAGAAATACTGTCCCTATAAGCCGGTGGGCCTTCTTTAAGCCCTCGATTAGTGAACCCGTTCCCAGTTCCGAGTGTTGATCCTACTCGGAGGCGGGAAATTTACATTGCCATCTCGAAGGATGCCCGAGTTCTTTCTGCCCTGGAGGGATTTTCAATTATCTTAGGTGCTTGGTGACCTAAGAGGATCAAACAAAAATGAACGAGGTGGAGGCGCCCTGCCTGTTCAACGAAGCTCAACAGGCGTTGAATCGGGTAATTTCGAATGCCCCTTTATTATGTACTTAGCTTTAATCATGAATAATCATAACATTTTTCCTTTGTGTTTGTAGGCCCCGGTGCTTCATCACGAGGCTTTTCTTTGATACCGGGAGGAGTCAACATGTTTCGAGGTCGAGGATTAGGAGCTTGCCGAAAATAGGGATGTTTACAAGCTCCTTAATGAAAAATCCCAAGCTGAGCTGGAAGCGGCTCGTAGGGAACATACCGAACTGGTTGAGTAGGTAAGGAGAGTTTTTGGAGTTAGTGATGATGAGTCAGACTCAGTAGCTAACAAGCCGAACTCGCATGTACATAATAAATTTGACGTGATCGAGCAACTCCGAGGTGAGGTGGATGCGTTCAAAGCCGAGACCGAGGAATGGAAGAAAAATATGGATCGCTTAGCCTCGGAAAAAGAGACTGCCCAGACACAGTTTGCTTCTGCTGAGATTCAGCTTCGGGCTGCAAAGGAGAAGAACTTGGCACAGGCCAAAATGATCGAGGGACTCCAATCGCAGCTGAGTTCGGTTGTTTCTGGTCAAGAGAATCTGGCCAAGGAGCTCAAGGCTGCCAAGTCAGAAGTTATTACGGCCCGGAACGAAACTGATAAAAAAGTGGCCCAGCTCAAAGTTGATGTCGAGGCTATCCAGGAGCAGGCAAAAAACATGGTGAAGCATGCAAGATGGGAATCCCGAAGGGAGACCTTCGAGGGAGTCCATGCTCAGAATTTAGACATGTTGACCGAGATCGAAAACGCCAAGACATGCGAAACCAATGCTCGGAGGCTAGCTTTTCTCGAGGAGGATTCCGAGGCATTTGCAGAGTTGGGCGAGTCCGGTGGTGAAGAAGAGCCCGTAGGCAATGATGTAGCCCTCGATGAGGATTAGGCCATTTTTCGTCCTTTATACTCATTTGTTTGGTGAGGCCATTTTGCCTTTGTAAAAACATGTGTCGGGGCTATCCAGCCTTTGTAAATAAATTTTGATATATATATATATATATATATGTAAGGCTTTTTGCTTTTATCGTTTCTCGAATTTTTCCCTTGCTTTTTTATTTATCTTAATGATGGTTGAAATACCTTAGCATGAAATAATTATCTCGAAATGGCCTTAGCATTTTAACTCGGGCGATGCCAAATAAGCTTCAGGCCCTCGAGTTTATTAACTCGGAACTGCCTTAGCCTTTTAATTCGGGCAATGCCAAATAAGCTTCATGCCCTCAAGTTTATTAACTCATAATGGTCTTAGTCGTTAAGTTCGGGCAATGCCAAATAAGCTTCATGCCCTCGAGTTCATTAACTCGTAATGGCCTTAGCCGTTACGTTCGGGCATGCCAAATAAGCTTTATGCCCTCGAGTTTTATTAACTCGGAATGGCCTTAGCCTTTAAGTTCGGGCATGCCAAATAAGTTTTATGCACTCAAGTTTTATTAACTCGGAATGGCCTTAGCCGTTAAGTTCGGGCATGCCAAATAAGCTTCATGCCCTCGAGTTCATTAACTCGTAATGGCCTTAGCCGTTACGTTCGGGCATGCCAAATAAGCTTTATGCCCTCGAGTTTTATTAACTCGGAATGGCCTTAGCCGCTAAGTTCGGGCATGCTAAATAAGCTTTATGCCCTCGAGTTTTATTAACTCGGAATGGCCTTAGCCGCTAAGTTCGGGCATGCTAAATAAGCTTTATGCCATCGAGTTTTATTAACTCGGAATGGCCTTAACAGTTAAGTTCGGGCATACCAAATAAGCTTTATGCCCTCGAGTTTTATTAACTCGGAATGGACTTAGCCGTTAAGTTCGGGCATGCCAAATAAGCTTTATGACCTCAATTAACTCGAAATGGCCTTAGCCGTTAAGTTCTGGCATGCCAGATAATATTTATGCCCTC